AATTAGAGAATGGGTAAGTTTGGAAGGGACCACTGTCCAACCTCCCTGCTCAAGCAGGGTCATCCTAGAGAACACTGAACAGGATTGTGTTCAGATGGTTCTGGAATAGCCCCAGTGAGGGAGACTCCACACCCTCTCTGGGCAATCTGTTCCAGGGCATGGTCACCCATACAGGAAAGAAGTTCTTCCTCATATTCAGGTGGAACTTCCTGTGAATCAGTTTCTGACCATTGCCTCTTGTCCTATTGCCTGGTACTGAGCAGAGCCTGGTCCATCCTCTTGACACCCTCCCTTCAGATACTGATAGATCCTCTTTCAGTGCTTTTTACTCCAGGTTAAACAGGCACAACTCCCTCAGCCTTTCCTCATAAGTGAGATGCTCCAGTTCCCTAATCATCTTTGTCACCCTCTGCTGGACCCACTTAAGGAGCCCCATGTCTCTCTTGTACTGAGGAGTCCAGAACTGGACACACTACTCCAGATGCGACCTCACCAGGGCTGAATAGAGGGGCAGGATCACCTCCCTTGACCTGCTGGCAATACCCTTCCTAATGCACTCTAGGATACCATTGGTGTTCTCAGCCATAAGGCCTCACTGATGGCTCATGGACAGCTTGCTGTCCACCAGGACCTCCAGGTCCTTCTCCGCAGAGCTGATTTCTAGCAGGTCACCCCCAGTCTGTACTGGTGTATGGGGTTATTCTTCCCCAGGTTATATCACTTGATATTTAATGATTAAATATTACTCTCGATAGGCATTAGATTGTGCCTTACAAAGCACAACATGCATGGCTAGTGCTCAGGAAATAACAAAGAAGATAGCTGTGGCATATGTACTATTAAGTACATAGTAGTATGTAACCGCTATGGAGGGAGAGCTCAGCAGACCCTGATGGCTGCAGATATTTATAGTGTAAAGTGGTTGATTCATAGTCAGTTTTTCTGCTGTTTTCATGCAGTTTTAGCTATTTATCAGTTCAGTCTCCTGCCAATCCAAGTTTTTTTGTTTTGTTGCTGGGTTCTCACTGATGACCTCACAAAATAAGATTAACTTTGCTTTGTCCTACTTGCTGAGTATCTGCCTGGACCAAAGTTCAGTTAGTTCTAACAGCAGGAATGCATCCATCACACAGGTATTGATCTGTATGCTGCATTAACTTCTGCTTGAACCTCTATCCCTGACTGGCAAGACAGAGGAGATCACTTGGGCCCCCAAGGCTTTGAAGTCCTGCTTGATCTTGCCCATGCTATGCTTTATTGTGTCATTGGTGCCCACATGGAAAAGAAGTAGGGGATAGTAACCTGTGCTTTTAACCAGTTGTGGTGATCTCTCTGGGACATCCCAGTTCTTGGCTCCTGGCAAGCAGTAAACCTCCCTTAACTGTATATCAAGCTGGCAGATGGGTGCCTCAGTGTCTCTCAGCAGAGTCACCCAGTACAAGCAGTCGCTGATTCTCCTTTGTGGCATTTTAGTATGTTGTGTTGATGCGGTTTCTCCCAGTGACTCTTGCTCATTGGTTTTGTCCACTGCCAAGACTTCATATCAGTTGCTGGTTGGTACATATATTATCTGAAAAAGTGGAAATACTCTAGAAAAATAAAAATTGGTCTAAAAGAACTGAAAACATCATAATCTATTGTCTGTTACAGGTGAAAAATCAAAATTAACAGCATTTGCTGCTCAAAGTGCTGGTGTCCCACAACCTCTTATGTCTCTATGATTTAAAAAGGACTTAATTTTAATCCAAAATGGAGTGTCTCTCTCTAAGAACTTCCCATGTTTCATGTACTCTTCCTTTCCTAAACAGGTTGAATTCTCCACAGGAGTTTTCTTTGAGATCATGGACTCTCACTGGAGAGGCCTGGCTGACTCTTTGAAGTGAGACTCAGTTATCCTAACCTCTTTGGACCCAATTTGAGGTTATAGAATCATAGAATGGTTTGGTTCAGAAGGAAGCTTTAAAGGTCATCTAGTCCAACCCCCCTGTCATGGATAGGGATACCTTCCACTAGACCATGTTGCTCAAAGCCCTGTCCAGCATAAATTTGAACACTTCCAATGATGGAGCTTCCACAACTTCTCTGGGTAACTTGTTCCAGTGTCCCACTATCCTCATCATAAAAGAATTCTTCCTTATATCCAATCTAAATCTACCCTCTCAGTGTAAAACCCTTGCCTCCTGTCCTGTCACTACAGACCCTATTAAAAGTCTCTTTCCATCTTAGAAGCCCCCTTTAAGTACTGAAAGGCCACAATAAGGTCTCTTCAGTGCCTTCTCTTCTCCAGGTTGGAACAACCACTACTCCAGGTGGGGTCTCATGAGCGTGGAGTAGAAGGGCAGAATCCCCTCCCTTGACCTGCTTGCCATGCTGCTTTTGATGCAACCCAGGACACAGTTGGCTTTCTGGGCTGCAAGCACACATTGCCGGTTCACATCCAGGTTTTCATCCACCAGTACCCCCAAGTCCTTCTCTGCAGGGCTGCTCTTAATCCCTTCATCTCCCCAAACTGTATTGATACTGGGGTGGCCTCAACCCATGTGCAGCACCTTGCACTGAGGTTCACATGGACCCCCTTCTCAAGTCTGTCCCGGTATAGCAGGATACTCTGCCTAAGTGGGGGTAAAACAGCTCAAACTTTACCCTATTTGCAAAAGTTGCCAGTGCTGGCTGGAGGAGGGGGGTTACGCTGCTTTTGGTGTTGAAGAATGCTGAGACCAGCCTCACTCATCAACCCCAAAGTTAAACATTCTGAGGAAGAACAATGTTTCCTGACAGAAACTGGCACCTGTCAGGGTGTGGCAAACCAAGTCCCTGATAAAGGAACCAACAAGTGATAACACAGATAACTTATCTAAGGTTGCTGAGCTGACACAGATGGCCTGGAGATGTATGACTGACAGTCAATCACTTTATACTATAAAATCCCAGTCCCACTTTTTAATGGTAGGGACTTCTAACATATCCCTTCTTGGAGTGTGTGTGGAGATTCCTCCCTTGAGTGGGGATGCCCTTCAAGGTTACTCCTCAAGGCTGAGTGAAAGAGATTTGCCACTGTTGTTGCTATGGATGAGCAACATCAATCTCTGATTAATATTTTGCTATCTTTAATATCATGAACAGACATTAATATCATTAATAGACATGAACCGTTGACTAAGTCTGGGGCTAGGATTGGATCCAGCCATGCCCAGAATCCTCTCTGAGAAGGAATTTAGAAAGCAAGGGAGTCCTTTCTTCCAGCTCTTGACTCAGTGGGAGGGCTTCTCTAATAAACTTTGTCTGAAGCTCCCATTCTGCCTGTGACACCTGATCCCTCTGGACTGTATCCCATCCCTCAGGCACATCAACCACACCACTCAAATATGTTGGAGAGTGGCTTGACAACTTCATCAGCCAACTCCTTAAGGACTCTGGGATGCATCTTATCAGGTCCCATGGACTTGTCTATGTTCAGATTCCCCAGATGGTCTCAAACTTGGTCTTCTATGGTGGGAGGGACTTCATTCCCTCAGTCCCTGCCTTGAGGTAGGTTCAGGGGCTTGAGTACCTCAGCTCTCTCCATGTCAGTTGTCAACAGATCCCCTATCTCATTTATTGGGGTGGGGTGTCATCCTTTCAATAGAAAGGATGTTCACATGAGAACTTCTTTCTACACTTTTTGATAATGGCAAGGTCACACAGGTGGCATAATCACTGGTACCAGGTGGGAGCTGCCTTCAGGTTCCTCTGTTACAATGAACTGACTGAGTTTATCCTGAGGCCAAGGAGTTTGAGCAGCACAATGTAGGCCTGAAGGTCAAGCTGTATGTACAGCACAGCAGAGCACAGGCCTGGGCCTACTCGGGTGTTATGGTTTAAACCTGGTAGGCAGCTAAGCAGCACACAACAGCTAGCTCACTCTCCCTGCAGTGGAATGGGGGGATAATTGGAAGGGTAAAAGTGCAAAAACCCATGGGTTGAGACAAAGACAGTTTAATAAGAAAAAAAAAAAAAAGAAGAAGAAAAAAAACCCAAACAACAAATAAAACCAAAAACAATAAAAATGAGTGATGCAAAAAAAAGCCCCAATTGCTTGCCATCAGCTGACTGATGCCCAGCCACTACCCAAGCAACTGCAGCTCCAGCAAAACTCCTCCCTCCCCCCCAGTCTATATACTGGGCATGACATTCTATGGTATGGAATAACCCTTTGGTCAGTTTGGGTTAGCTGTCCTGGCCATGCTCCCTCCCAGCTTCTTGTGCACCTGCTCACTGGCAGAGCATGAGGCACTGAAAACTTCTTGAGTAAGCAACATCCAAAACATCAGTGTGTTATCAACATTATTCTCATACTGAATCCAAAACACAGCACTGTACCAGCTACTAAGAAGAAAATTAACTATCCCAGCTGAAACCAGGACAATCTCTCTGAAGCAATTAATGTTAAATGACATATAAAGTTGGAACTCCAACTCTGAAATTCAACCCTGAGTATTCAGTAACTTGAAGATATACAGAGAGATAGCACTTAAGACACTTTTCACTCGCATTTGGAGAAGAGAGTTCACTCTTTCAGCTCTAAATCAAGCCTCATGGGAATATGAAAACAGTTTAACCCCTGGATAGTTGCACACAATGGACATAGAGCCAAACGTTTTGCTATATTGGAGAGTCTGGACTGTGACTTGCAGGTATGACAGAGAGGAATTAAAATAAAAATTAAATTAGCTATGTAATCTGAGTACCCTTCAGTACAAAGCCGGGATGAGCGGGCCTCGCGTGTGCACCTATGGTACCTCTGGTGCTGAGGGGTCATTCCTGTGAATGTGGACACCACCTCCGCTCGCTGGTGTCTCGGCCGAGACCCGGCCCAGGGCCCAAGGCAGAGACCAGGCCGTCATGCTCCCTGAGAACCGTTGCCAGGCAGCAAACGCGCAACTGCGCTCGAGAGAGGCGGGGAGCAGTCCCTTTCACGCTGAACGCCACCTCTATAAAACCATGGGGACTCACCCGGAAGACCTTGTATTAAGGGCGGTACTAGGGGCCGTGGTTGCTTTTGAGAGCGCAGCGCTCTTCCTCAGTTAGTTTTCTCTGTTGTGATCGGTTGGCGCCGTAGACATCTTCTTTCTGGTTCTGCGCCTGCTGGCCTCCGACGCGGGGCTTGCCCTCTTTCCTCCCGGCTCAAACTCTGTTACTATTAGTTCGCACTGTACGCTGAGTGATGCTGTTACGGGGCTCTGGAACTACGGGACCGTGGGGGTGGCTGACGCTGCTCCTGGTAGCTTGCGCAGTATGGGCCTCCGAAATCACTTTCGAGCTGCCTGACAACGACAAACAGTGTTTTTACGAGGAAATTGTCCAGGGTACTAAGTGCACCCTCGAGTTTCAGGTACTCCGTGCTTCCCTCGGCCCCCGGGGAGTCTCTTGTTATTTCACTTTTGCCGATAGTATTAGAGGCTTAATACCTATATAAATTGGTGGGCACTCAAACTATGTTATGCAAACAGCTTATCTGAAGTGTTGCTTCTAGTGCTTGGTGCCTCTCAACAAATCGTTATAGCATATGTTTGAATGGATATTTACGTATTTCAAATCAAATGTCTATTATTTTAGAAAGCTTCTGTATGCATATAAAAGGAATGTGTCTTTGGATAAAAGTTTTTTCATCCTTCAGGATGCTTTATCTTAAAGGCAAGAAGCTTGGAGCAAGGATTACATTTATCTACTAGCCTGAGAGTTATCAGAATCACATTACAGAGTAGTAAGCTATGAATACCTAAACTACCAGTTGCTCTTGCAGTGGAGATAGAATAACTAGTGTGATTCTACAGAAGAACATGTTATGGACCAACAATAATCAAAGACTGACAAAAGACAATCATATGAAGTTTTGAGTTATTTGTAGATATATTTTGAACATGCTAGTGTTGGAAAGAATTACTGTCATTAATTGTGCAGGAGCAAGGCAGCAGAACCTCCAGAACATTGCTCTGTTGATGTACACATATGAAAATGAGTCAGGCTGTAATACCTGTTCTACTGAACATATGCCATTTCTGCAACATAAAGCAGCTTGACCTAATAGGCTAGTTGGACAGTTTAGGTCATACATAAAATAGCTGGTTTATTGCATTTTGGCAGCCTCAACTTGCTGAATAAATTGTATGGATGGGCTTGTGGATATAGTAAATTACTAATTTATTACAGTTATGTCTTTGCCCCATCAAATTTCATCTACTCTAGCCTTTGCTATAGTACTAGTATCTTAAAATGAAGTAACTAAAGCTTCCTTGGTAAACTGTTAGAAAACGTAGTTGATGTTACATATCCTCAATTTAAAAGACCTTATTTTGAATTGTTCTGTGAGTCCTTCATAGGATGAGGATTTTTTTTTTCAAACTTGCATTGAAAGACTCTTAAATTAATGCATTTTATTTTAAAACTTTTGTCAGATCAAACAATTTGCAATGCTATCTCGGGGTGCGCTAGCTGGATGTCTGTTCTGCTTAAGACAATTTCTTGGATTTTTTTCAGGTGATCACTGGAGGTCATTATGATGTTGACTGTCGGTTGGAAGGTCCTGATGGTGCTGTATTATACAAAGAGATGAAGAAACAATATGATAGCTTCACATTTACTGCATCCAGAAATGGAACATACAAATTCTGCTTTAGCAATGAGTTCTCTACTTTCACACACAAAACTGTGTACTTTGATTTCCAGGTTGGAGAAGATCCACCACTGTTTCCTAGTGAGAACAGAGCAACTGCACTTACTCAGGTAAAATATTGTTGGGTTTGACAGCAACTGTTAGGTGGAGGGGATGTCTTTCAATTTCAACTACATTAGACATCTATATCGCTGTTGAAAATGAATGGGCTGGAACATCTTTAAAATAAACCCTATTACTAAAAGTGAGCATTTTCTGAAAATTAGGACTTATAGACTGCAGAGCTGAGGAGAAATTACCAAGTGTTTAAGTGGAAATTAGGGAAAATATACAGCGGCCTAGAGTTTAGGGGAATTTTTTTATGCCATGGTTCTATGTCTGTGTAAGTGTGGATTTTATAAAGTGTAAAATATCAGTGGATCAGGGTTTTCAAATTTCCTGAACTTTGGAGAAACTTTGAGAACAATTTGGTTTTATATTAAAATAGTTTAGAGTCTTTTTTGAGGGAAAGACTTGAATGGTTGATCTCTTATGTAACTGTCACTTGTAAAATTGGAAGAGAATTCTAGCAAATTACACAAATGAACAAAATCAGTCATACTTAACTGGTTTCTAGATATGTCATTTATAAGACATTTAAGTGGCAAAGCAGTACTCTTGCTCCAGACTTATTTTCCTAATATTTCTTTCTTTCTTCATAATTTTAGTTTTACACCACTTCTACCCAAACTAAATCAGCCAACTTCACTTGGAACAGTAACTTCATGAATTCTAACATTCTTACACTATAATTGTTACCAAACTGTACTTTAAACAACCATTTTAATATGCTGAATGTTACCACTATTTTACTAGTTTGAACTCAGTGGTAGAAATGCCACTTGCCAAATATCCATTTTACTCACTTGAATTTACTCCATGTAGGTCTGCAATGGCTAAAGACTTGTAATGAGTAGGTGACTTGCTGTGAATTCAGAATTCTTATCTCCTTCTGTTCACCTTTCTCTTCTGCTTTATGTTGTCTTTTGATTCTTGATCATGTAGCTCCCTTTTTCCCTGCACTTTTTTTAGTCTCCATTCTGTGCACTGTTATATGTTTGGGGGTTTTTGTGTATTAGCGTGTGTGGGGGTGTTGTTGGTTGATACTTTGGCACCAGTAGAGGGTATTGAGAACACAGAACATGCAGATTCTAGATCCAGCATCTTTGCAGGCTGTGGGAGAAGTTATAAGAAAAAGTTTATCACTGGGTTATAGCATAAATAATGCAAATCAGATCTTTGGGAAAGGGGAAGTTAACTTTCAAAGAAAAACACATCTTTGGTAAGTAGGTTCTCCATTGCAATTTTCTTGAGGCTTGTAGTATGACCAGATTTGGGCAGACTTTCACAGGGACTGTAAAAGGTAAATCCCCGAAACTAGACTTTATTTAAGATCCCTGCTGCAGAGTAGGGGAGGGCTCTATAATTTAGCAGTGAAACAAATGACAGAACTTAATGCAAATCTCTTCCTGAATTTTGTTTAGAAGACTATCTCGGACTTTTTCAGACACCTGTCCTGAAAGTCATGAACTTGAAAAGTTGATTTGACACAGATATAACTGACAATTGTTTTTATTAAGGTGTCAAACACTTGCTTTATAATAGATTATGCTTTTGATCTTCAGGAAATAATGATTTTTAGGGGAATAACCAGTTGGTTAGTTGTTCTAAAACTTAAGTATTTTGAAGATATTCATTAATTTCTTGATGGTCAAAAGACAATCATGGGTATTGACTCTTTCTTTCAGAAGGTAAACTGAAAATGGAGGAACTTTATGTGTATCTAGGTATTGGAAAGCCTGTAGTACATATATTGAAAAAGTTTAAGATTTTTCAGGTTAGAAAAGGGAATGTGATTTTTATGAAAGATGACACATTTAGTTGGGCAATTTGGTCTTGAGTGTTTATTATATAAATATGGTAGGGAGCATCCAGGAACACTGAAAGATAAGAGTTCTCTTTTATCTAATCACTTTTTACATATGTGACTAATAGAAGGGTCTCCTGCCAAAAGAACATGTTGAAGTCAGCAACCTACATTTCAGGCTTCTGTGAAACTGAAGTTTGGGTATTATGTGATGAAGAATCACAAACTTGTGAAATCTAAAAGTGTTTTAATATCTACTATGCAAATCTTAATGATATAAGAAACTTACTAGCTATCCAGATCTGGAGAAAGATTTACTGCTTGTTTTACTGGTGTATGTGGAATTAACAAATGTTGTATCACTGACATATTTCAATACAGTGTTTATATTTACTTTTGAACCCAAACATGCATGAATTTTAATATTCAGTTTCTGGCTCTTAGAGTGCATTACTTTGTATTACATCTGCAGTTTTGCACACTTTGGTTCTTAAGTCAGTCACATCCCTGTGTGTAAAACTTGATTGATATGTTAGATTTATAGTATTTCAGTCTGACAGTGGACTCAGTTAATCTTTCATTTATAAAGCTATGTGAATCCTAATTTAAAATATCAAATCACAGAACAAACATTAGAAGGATTCTTAATTGAGCATGTGTATTAATTTGCTTCTCTAGGTGGAGTCTGCGTGTGTTTCAATTCATGAAACTCTGAAGTCTGTCATTGATTATCAGACTCATTTCCGGTTGAGAGAAGCACAAGGCCGCAGCAGAGCAGAGGATTTAAACACAAGAGTAGCCTATTGGTCAATAGGGGAGGCAATGATTCTTCTTGTAGTTAGTATTGGGCAGGTATTTCTCCTCAAAAGCTTCTTCTCAGATAAAAGAACCACAACAACCCATGTTGCATCATAACTGGTAATGATAATGCTTCAGGTCATTGTGCTATTCACTTGTGAAATTACCAGTCTCCAATTAATTGTAAGTACAAGGAACTATATATATGAAACATTTAAATATCTACCCCTCCTCATTGATTAAAATTGCAAAACATACTCCAAAAGTTATGAAAGGGACACCCAATTTGAAATATAGAGTAAACTTAATGTTTTATGATACTTGTATTAAATATCTGGCAATGGCCAGCCTCTCTTTGGTTTTGCTGATTTTAATCCAATTTGGGTTTAACTTTACTGATATGATTACCCATCTGTGCTATAGTACTTTAAAAGAATTCACCAATCTAGACTCTGATGTGAAAGACAATACTCATGAACATTTGATTTGACTTTAATTTTTGGGCTGAATATATTTGATTTGTAAGCTAATGTGATGAACTGTAGTTGTGAGATGTATTGCACTGTTCTGATTTGCTGTAAAAAAAAAATAATTATATCCTTTGCTTATCTGTAAAACTGTTGCAAACTTGATACTACATAATGATGCAAATTCTCTACCTGCCTGGTAAATCTCTACCTTCAAAACCTACTAAATTTTATAATTGAGTGTATTTGCTTAAATACAATTTTCTACATTAAAATATAATGCATTTCCTTTTTTACAATGTTTTACTAAACAACTTCTAAACTGAGACTATTTGAGAAATGTGCTTTCTCTATTCAAAAATTTTAAATCTCCAAGTTGTTTTTAAAAATGCAATAAAATGGGGAATATTTTAACTTTCTTACTGAAGCTATGCAATCTCTCTACTTGTGCTGCTACTTGTTTAAGACCAGAGATAGTTTGTTTTTTATCAAGCACTACAGCACCAGCACCAGTTATATTGCATCCATTAGGCACATGCAAAGCTTTTAATTAAATTGTTTTCCTATTAAGAAGCCAATTTAATACTAATACTGCATTGTGTGAGTGCTGCGTACTTTATTTCTCTGTTTGGTGCACTGATACATTATGACCTTGTGCATGTAATTGCTGTTCTTTTCCGTTAGTGGTCAAAAATGTTTTAAATGTTTTGTGGTATCTTTTTGGCAGATTTGTAGCTGCATTGCTTCCACTGTTCATGTCTTTAGTTCAGGTATTGTAATAAAATCTTGTTTTATTTGGATGTTGAAGATAGTAAACATTTACATACAAGTAGCTTTAATTGAGCTACTCAAAATAAGGATAAACTTGTTCAGATGGTTCTGGAGGAATAAATGAACTTGGACCCATTTTTAAGTACACACAAACAAAACTAAGATTAAAAAATTGAGTTACTAATTCTAATTAAAAAATACTCCACTTAAACTAGTTTTCAGGAAGCAAAGAATGCTAAATTCTCATTAATTGCCTATATTATTTTCCATTAAAAAATTGACAGGATATACACGTGCACTTGGACACTGATGACCTAAGATGACTTTAAAATGGTGTGGTAGTTAAAAAAAAATACTTCTTATCTCTTTTGTAAACCGATAACCTACCCTTTCAGAACTGAAGAAAACAACTTTAAGACTTCAAAAATTAGTTAAAAGGTCACAGGGGTAATAAAAAGCTTAATATTATATTCAGAATAATGTATAATGTCTTACTATCTTGTATTGAACTTGCAGTATTGCAGTTCCATTTTTGAGGTACAAGCTTCCCTGAAATTGTAACAGAATCTCAAAGATCAAAACTCAAAAACTAGTGCTCTCTTTTTATGCCTGCACACAATGTTCTTGATTGTACCTATATGCTTTATCCTTATGTTTCAGCAAATGATCCTCAGGTTTTTGTTTTTTTTTTTTTCATTTCATTACAGAAATGGTAATGAAGGGTAATTTATCTGACACTAGCAATTTAGGTGCTAGAGTCAGATAAAAACATGATATAATTTTTATAGTATCCACTATAATCTTCTGATGCCTGAATATCACTTGTTGAGTAGCTTTAATCACACACAAAAAAATTTGTTTCAAAAATGGAAGTGGTTTTCCACTAAGTCAACTCTGTGTACTGTCAAACTTAGTAAACAATGGGGTAAACAAAGTATTATCTGACTGTGGCATACATGTCTCTAATTTTTTTATAAATATTTGAATTTGTTGAATGGGGCTGTTTAGATCAATATTATTCCTCCTGAGGTTTAGCGGACTTGAATTTTGCATTGAAATTAGGTATGTGAACTAAACCTCTGGTATAATGCTGTATCATCTGCAGCAATAGCTTAAAAAGGCCTTTAATCTGGGGTTATGAAAAATATGCTACACATTTGAAAATTTTGTATATTTTTTAAAACAAGTGATTGGATAGGATATAATAAAACACATGCTACCACTTCAATACGATAAAAAAAAATCATAAAGCATTTATCTTTTTTTCTTAATTATTTTTTTACTAAAGCTGCATATGTGAATATTTCAGTTAGTGGTGTGATATGCAATTAAATCACCCTGTGTTAAATGAGATACAACTGTGTTTGAAGTTGTGAAAGGTTTCAACTATTCCTATTGTGTTTTTATGTTTGCATAATTTCTTTTCATGTCCTGACATGTTAGTTGTTGTTTTAGTTGAAAGGGAGGGGGGGAAGTTTGAATGAGACAAAAAGACCCTGTGAATGTTGTATGGGGAAATACAAATTAATCATAGAATGGTTTGGGTTGGAAGGGACCTTAAAGATCATCTAGCTCCAACCCCCCTGCTAGGGCAGGAAACCTTCTATTAGACCAGGTTACCCAGAGCCCCTTCCAGCCTGGCCTTGAACACTTCCTGGAATGGGGAGTCCACAACCTCTCTGGGCAACCTGTTCCAGTTCCTCACCACCCTCACAGTAGAGAATTTCCTCCCAATATCTACTCTAAACCTGCCCTCCTTCAGTTTAAAGTCATTCCCCCTTGTCTCATCACTGCACGTCCTTGTAAAAAGTCCCTCTCCAACCTCTTTGTAGGCCCACTTTAGGTGCTAGAAGGTGCTATAAGGTCTTCCTGGAACCTTCTCTTCTTCAGGCTGAACAGTCCCAGTCCCATGTCTTTCTTGTGTTGGGGGCCCCAGAGCTGGATGCCGTACTTCAGGTGGGGCCTCACGAGACCAGAGTAGAGGAGGAGAATCACCTCCCTTGACCTGCTGGCTGTGCTGCTTTTGATGCAGCCCAGGATGTGGCTGGTTTTCTGGGCTGCAAGTGCACATTGCCAAAACATGTTTAGCTTCTTGTCCATAAGCACCCCTATGTCTTTCTCCCCAGTGCTTGTCTTGATCCATTCTCCACTCAGTCTGTACTTGTGCTTGGGATTGCCCCAACCCAGGTGCAGGACCTTACACTTGACCTTGTTGAACTTCATGAGGTTTCCACAAGCCCACCTCTCAAGCCTGTCCAGGTCCCTCTAGATGCCATCCCTTCCCTCCAGCATGTTGATTGCACCACACAACCTGGTGTCATCGGCAAACTTGCTGAGGGTACGTTCAATTCCACTGTCCATGTCACCCACAAAGATGTTAAACAGTGCTGGTCCCAATATGCCACTTGTCACTGCTTTCCACTTGCACATTGAACTGTTGACTGGAACTCTTCGAGTGCAACCATCCAGCCAATTTTTTATCCACCGAGTGGTCCATCCATCTAATCCATGTCTCTAGTTTAGAGAAAAGGATGCTATGCGGGACAGTGTCAAATGCTTTGCACGAGTCTAGATGACATCAGTTTCTCTTCCCTCATCCACCACTACTGTAACCCTGTCGTAGAAGGGCACCACATTTTTCAGGTGCAACTTGCCTGTAGTGAAGTCGTGTTGGCTGTCACCCATCCCCTCCTTATTTTCCATGTGCTTTAGCATAGTTTCCAGGAGGATCTGCTCCATGATCTTGGCAGGCACTGAGGTGAGACTGACTGGTCTTTAGTTCCCTCAGTATAATATATATTCACATTCATATAATATATGAATGTAATCTGATTCACTTTTTGGAAGAATAATGCTTCTGAGTGTCGCAGGTAAATTATTAAGAGAAGTCATCGCTGTGGGGTTAACTAAAAGGGTTTTATCAATGATTAAATGATGATCAAATGATAATCAATATTTGAATGAAAATTAAATCGTAATCAAGTGGTGATTAAGCAATAATTGAATGATAATTAAACAGTAATTTAAATGATTATTTGATCGATAATTAGATGGTGAACAAATACTCTACTTAATTACTACACTTAATAATTAAACTATAACTGGATATATAGACATCAGTAGCATACAATATACTTTTAGGCTTAATGTAAAACGTTGCTTATCTTGTTCTAGATAATAAATGCCTCATAAGAGATCTCTCAAACCCAAGGAGTAACCTTGGAAGGCATCCTGTTTAAGGGGGAGATCATCACCATGCAGTCTGCTGCCATACAGGAGAACTCAATGGGCTCAATGGGGCTATGGGTATTTATAGCGTCAAGTGATTGACTCATATTCAAACCCCCTTTGGTGTATGTGCAGGAGAACAGCAGTTGTAGTTTTGTCTAGTCCCAACTCAGGCTGGCACTGTTAGCTCCTGATAAGGCATGGCCTAGGTTCATTATTGTGTTGTGCATGCAAAAATATATCTCCCAAAGAGCAGATTATAATAATATAAAACTTAATTTTGGATCTTGGAGAAAATCATTGTCTCCCCAAGGGATAATGACATGGATTTACCAATTTTTATTCCTACTCTTTCTTTTTGATTATAAGCCTATGTTCAATCTTCCTGTCTAATGCTCGGAGTCTATGCTGGCATCATTTCTTAAACTTCAAAAACCTCCTGACATCATCTCATATATGACACATAAGGGTTGCATTGCTTCTGTATATCTCCTTGGCCCCAGCAAGGAAGACAGATTAGTCTAATTTCTGATCCATTTTTAACCATATAAGAATTAGTCCATCAACATTATATCTGTAATGATAGTCCTTCTAAAACAAACCAAAATTGCCAAATTTTGAATTAAGTTTACATTCCTGGTCCAGTTGTTTCAGGGACTGACTGATCATTGGATGAATTGTCCATGTTTCAGATGTGATGGCAAATAAACTTGAAGTAAATGTGAACAGAATTATTTGGAAGGGGAACTACTGCTCATGGGAACAGAACAAATCTCGGTAGCTACACATTAGTTCTATTAACTATAGTATTGATAGGAAGACATATAATTAGAGTACTGCATATATATGTTGCAAGGTCATGCTGTTCAACAAAAGTGAAATCTCTACCACACCAGCGGTGCATGGAGACAGGGAATGGGGGTTTCAGATGAACCACTGTCCTTGTTATTGTTCAGTTCCACTTGCAGAGCCTTGTACCTTTTATGCAAGGGCACCTGGGAAGGTGAGGCAGTCACAGAGGAGATGCACTTTTTGTTCCAGGCAGGAACTTTTCACCATTTTCCCCATCCCTTAAGTCAATGTTCAGCCAGGTGGAGAGAGGATAGGGAATCTGTGTCATGCATCCTGTCTGCCTGTTGGGCCTGTCTCAGGAAGGTAGGGTGCAATTCCATTAGTCTATCTCTCTCATACTCTCTGATACTCCTCAGCCTAGTCACCTGCTCCTGGAGCCCTGTCACTAAGCAGAGGAGTTTCTTTACCTGGGCACACCTCACACAGATGAGCTTACTACAGCCATCTGATACTGGCACACCCTAGAGCCTGACACCTGGGTGGCAGCATGTTCCCACCAAAATTACTACTCATTTTGCAGAAAAGATTTCTCTATCAATTTTACTGGCATAAATGCTCAAGATGTAGGAACCCATTGTAATGGGGAGAACTTGGGGGGGGGGGAAGAGTAAATAGCCTAAATTTAGAATCAAGCAGATCCTTCAACATCTTCAGAGTCTGAACAAAATCATGCTTTTTCATACTAAGGCAGGAAAGTGCCCAAGCCTCAGACAGTCTTTTCAAAGAGAAAAATGCAGAGTAAAAAAATGATTATTTATAGCAAATTACTAATATAAGTAATAGATACATTTCTATAGAAATAAAATGTTATTGCTAATGATTCCTACAGGAAAGCATATATACAGCAAAAGTTATAAATGGCATGATTTACTGAAGGGAAAAAGTTTAAAGAGGAAAAAGTTTCCAGGGCATCTTTTATCAGAAAGATGGAGTATCTTTTTGCAATTGGAAAACAAATCCTGAAGACAAAACTAAACCACTAGTACTAGTATTTGTAATGTAGTTGGCTTGAGAAACCTCAATTCTTGCAGGTTAAAGTGGAATTGAAGGGAAAAATATGCAAATGTCAATGGCTTCATGAAAATACACATGTGCTTAGTTGACATTTTAAAGAATATTTGTCTGGCTTATATCCACAATCCAGCAGTGCACTCTCACAGCAAAGACAACTAACAGTATCCTGGGCTACATTATGAAGAGCACCATCAGCAGGTCGTGGGAGGTGATCTACTCAGCACTGGTGAGACCTCACTTGGAGTACAATGTCTAGTTCTGGGCTCCCCAGTACAAGAGAGACATGGAGCTCTTGGAGTGAGTCCAGACAAATGAAAACAATCATAAAATCATAGAATCATAGAATGGTTTGGGTTGGAAGGGACCTTAAAGATCATCTAGTTCCAACTCCCCTGCCATGATCACCTAGTTCCAACCCCAACTCTCTTATCCTGTCCTCATACTGGAGGTGCTCCATCCCCCTGATCATCTTGGTGGCCCTCCTCTGGACCCACTTGAACAGGTCCATGTCTTTCTTATGTTGGGGTTCCCAGAGTTGGATGCAGTGCTCCGGATCAGGTCTCATGAGAGCAGAGTAGAGGGGGACAATCACTTCCCTTGACCTACTGGTCACGCTTATTTTGATGCAGCCCAAGATGTGCTCATATTCACTTTTTCATCCACCAAATATGCAATATAGTCAACTCCATACTCCTAACTCTGTGCTGCACAGGGCTGGTAGAGAAGGGTTTAAAGTGTTGTTCAGCCTTCTCCTCTACTCAGAGTGAAACTTTCTTGCTGAAGTGACAAGACAGAGTGCCAGTTATAGCAACTTATGACAGGAAATGGCAAGTACTCTGTTGGAGCTTAAATCAACCCATCATTAAATAATCTCTCTCATTAGCAACTGAAAAATTTCTCAGAAATCTCTAACTGTCCTTTGAAATGGATAAAGCATTTACTAGGATTAATCATAGCCAGATTAAGGTAGTGACATAGAGGTAAAAGTTTTGGAACCCAAATTCCATCTGCTGAAACTTCTACTACTTCCATGTACTCCTCAAGCAATAGTGCTCTTTACAATTGCTCTTTATTATTTGTTAATTAAGATATATTATGTCATCATCATCATGGCTAGGCTTCACAAATGAAGATTTGAGAAGGGCTCTACCCACACTTGCTGCAAGCACGCTGATGG